AACCTTTTCGGAGGCGGCGCAAAATTAAAAATACCTCAGTAAACGTTGCTGCCAATAACCAGTTGATTGTGGTATGACGTATTGGAAATTAATAAATCCTGAGAAGGAATACGAACCATTATAGATATATCTGGTAATATACGTAAATGTAACGACTGCATCTTCATTTCGGAACGTTTCTGATATAAATAAAATTGAATCGACTTCGTTCGCATGCGGAAGCCAGGGATCTAAGAACCTATAAACGGAGCCCACGACGCGGGAATTACCAAATTTGCGGCAGATAGGTTCTATCTTTATAGAATATGCGACGATCGAGTCTTTCCGTCGTATACTGTATGAATCTAGATAGACCATAGTTACATTGTATACGCACTAACACCTACTTCGCAGCGTGCTGTCAAGTTATATGTATAGAAAAAAAAAATAGCTATACAAGCTTTACCTATGTTAGGCTGTCCGAAGGTTGACATGTTCAAGATAATTTTTTAATTTTGCGCCGCCGCCGAAAAGGTTGAAATGTATTTAATACACTACCTAACGAGTAAATAGGTTTCATTCATATCTGTGACGTAATTGTATGATTGAATGAAATAGAAATTATTTTATACTTTTTAGTGCATTTCGAAGTCGGTGTATTTTTTTTCTTAACATTATTTTATTTATTTCTAAGGTCTACCAATAAATTGAAAAAGTGTAAAAAGTCCGCCCCTATTATCGGCTTAGAAACATCGGCCATTATAAATCGCCAGGGGAACTCTCGGCGAAGGCCTAAGTTTAGAGATAATTTTTCGCCGTACGTATTGATTACTGCTCCGTTTGCCACGTATAATTTAACCGGGTCTACCTTCCGATCCTTACCTCCTAATGCTCGCGGAATTACTGAAACATTTGCGCCCGTGTCGATCAGAAATTCTATCCTGCTCCTGCTATCTCGGATGCTGAGGCGATATTTCTGCTGCACGTCGCCAACTGCCTCGACTTGGAACGTCGCTTCTAATTTTTTTCTGGTCCACGTTTGTCTGGGCCCGTCCAGTTACACGGCTTTCTGCATTTCCAGGACTGCTCGGCGAATTTGTGATGAAACCAGCACAACCCGTTCCGTCTCGTGCTGTCCTCTAGGCTGGCGCTCCTCCTGAAGAAACGCTGCTTGCTGCGGTTGCGGTTCCTTCTGATCAGTTCGATCTCTAACCGAGACAATCGCGTCGCGATTGCCGCCAAGTTGCCATCTTGGCGTCCGGGCCTGTCGTGCCGCGTTGTGTTCGCCATTGTGACCCGCTTGGCGTGGGTGAAATCGGCAATGGCCGGCACCTCGGCCGCCGAACGCTCCATTGTTTTATCGGCGACTTTCGCCAATCGTTGCAGGTCCGCATCATCGATTATAGGCAGGATCTCCTGCACCCTGCTCGGAAGCAGCTGGATCCACAGCGCGCGGAGTGCGCTCTTCCCGACGTTTGCCCCCGCGAGCTGGCTCATTACCCTTAGAAGCTCGGACGGTCTTCTGTTGCCCAGTTCAAGGCCGGATAGGAGATGTCTTAAGTTTGCTTCATCCGACCTGACTAGCCTTTCTATCAATGCGCGTTTTATATCATTATATGTACTCTTATCCGGCGGGGTCTCTATTACATCCAGTACGATCTTCATCGTGTCCTGATCTAAACTTCGGACTACCGCGGAGCTTTTTACGGCGTCGCGTCGCGTCGGCTCGCACACCGTCTGCAGCGAACTCTCTCTCGAGCATGATAAACCAGGAAGCGCGGTTCTTCTTTCCAGAACGCGGGAAGCTTTACGTTCCGAAATTCACTTGCCTGTATCTCATGCCGCTTGGCGTCCACCAGACCGTCGGTTGCACTTCCTTCCGGATTCATTCACCAGTTTCGGCACCAATTATGTGGGGACTGAGGTTCGTGAAGGAGAGCCCGGTGTAGTAAATGACGCACAACGACTTTTTCTTGCTATTTGCAAGTATTGCACTTTTTATTAATTCGCGCAATTTGTTGACTCTTTCGCTTTCTTACACCGAGTGGGAAGAGCGTCGTTCTTCTTTTTCGCGCTGCATTCCTTATGAACTAGTCTTACCAACTAATTATATACAGCTTAACCTAAGGAACTGTTCCAGAGGGCATGTGTGTCGCTATTGCTACAGTCGCCATAAATGCATATAGATTTCTTGTAAGAATAGCAAAAGAAAGATATTGATCTGTTCGTGTCAGTAAATATAATAAACGATGTGTAAAGATCTGTATAAAAGAGTAGAGGAAAACAGGACTTTTACACCCTCCTTTCCCTCCCTTTTCCTTTCCATTATCCCATCTCAGTAACCTAACCCCCTATCATCCTGCTCTTTCCTGCTTAAGATATCTTTGGCAAAAGCCGAAAATGCATCCCAATTATTTTTGCTCCTCAAGAGATAGATTTCCAAGTTTCCTGGTGCCAGGAGTTCTTCTCCCGAAGGGATACCGTATTCCTCTCTTTCAGTATCCCAGCGTTTACACTGAAAAATAGAGTGTTCCACATCATCTGTTGCATATCCGCGGTACTTACAGACTGCGCTATCTCTTCTTCCTACCTTTTTAACACGTTCGTCGCCGCGTCACCCAGATTTGGGTGACGGGTATGCTTCCGTGGGGGTCCCGTCACCCAAATATGGGTGACGCTCTTCTTATTCAAGTTAATAAGACTTTCAGTTGGATTTTTAAAAGGAATTTAATGGAATAAGCACTGAAATATAAATATAGGATATACAACATAAAAATATACATATTATACTATACTTTTTACTAATTTATATTTAGGATAATATATTACATTATACTATGTCGCATGGTGTTCGTTGAAACATTTTAAACACATTTGAGGTGATTTTGGATAATTGGAACAATAGGTCGTGGTTTTTTTCACATTTTTTTTTTGCTTCTTGGCGTTCAGCAGTTTGCCTCCTCTTCTGATAACATAGGGCGCAAATCCTTCTTATAAGCTTGCCCTGCTGACTTGTACGGATCTCTAATATATGAGGCACGTTCCTTATTTTATTTCTATTATAATCGAGCGTAGCATTTTCCGGGGACAACCATTCGGTAACGAGAAGCTCCCGAAATTTTCCTATTTCTATTTTTTTATTTGTAGCTCTCTGATATACGATGTGAGCATTTACTATGCTTGTTCCCAAAAGCAAATGTAGTGCTAATTTCCGATACCACTTAATACTTTTCCGTATCATTGTGGCATATGACACCATCTGGTCGCTCCTGTCGATGCCAGTTTTTCCATTATTATATGCCAGTACCGCCAAAGGTTTCTCTTTAGAAGGGCGTCCGCAATGAGTAGATTCCGGGGTTGAAGCCATAATAGGTGCATGTTTTGTTGATAACATCCTAACATCGCGAACATCCTTCCACTTTAGCACCACAATACCGTTGTCATCTTCTTTTGCTATCATCTCACCTCTCTTCAATGGGTATGACATTACAAAACGTGGCATAAATTTTTTGTTGTACCGCACAGTCCCAACGACATGAGTCTTGAATTTTAAAAATTTGACTGCTAATTCGTAACTTGTATAAAAGTTATCGACAAACAAAGTTCGTCCTTCATTTATCAATTTATCTGCGAGTTCAATGCAGACGTCTTCGGCTATGCCAACTTGCTTTCTTCCGCTGGTATCTCTGCCAGAATAAATTTTCGCGGACCATGTATACCCTTCGGTGGAGCACAATTTGAAAAGCTTTATTCCATATTTATGAGATTTTGTTGGTATATATTGTCTGAATATCAATCGCCCCCCTCCAAGGAACCATTGTTTCGTCGATTACAATATCTTCACCTGGTGAAAACACTTTTTGATAATTGTCTGTCAATAGATTTAGAAGTGGCAAAACTTTTCCCAGTCTGCTACCCTCTTCTATCGTTTCGTTATTTGCAAAATCCAAGTTTGCTAAAAGTAATTCAAAACGATTACGGGACATCTTGCTGCGAGGAAACGGAAAGCTATACATGTAGATAGGATCCATTGACCAACATCTAACGAGCGGTGTCTGTACTAGACCCATCCAAATTAGCAGTCCTATAAATTTTCTAATTTCTGCAGAAGTGGTAGGTTTCCACCTGTTCAGTCGAGCATGCTCAGTCATTTTTTGTTGATGCAATTTTTGTTCTGCATATTTATTAGGCTCTGTGACTAAAAGGCTTATCACTTTTTCGTCTAAGAATAGCGAAAGCACTTCACTTGCGCTAATATCAGACGGCAAATCCATCAGAAGCCCACTTTTTCCAGTGAACGTAAACGTCTGTTGCCTGTTAGCAAATTCGTTCCACTGGATATTGTCCAATGGATCATCCACAGAGTTCAGCTCCTCTTCTTCGTCTAGAGCAAGTTCTTCCAACATGTCGTCAAGGTCTTCACTTGCGTATGATTCCTCCGTATCGGAGTTTGAACTCGATGAAATTCTATTTATCACTTTTCTTCTACAATTTACTATTTCGTCATCACTACTCTCCTCACTTCCAATTATATTTTTACCGGGTCTAATAAACATTTTGAGGATAAAAAGGTCACCGACGTGCGTCTCCAAAAAAGTACGCTTCTTGACTAAATGAAGGAGACTTGCAGAAAAGTCACACGTGCGTCTCAAAAAAAGTATGGTTCTCGACTAAAATGAGATAACTGTAATAAGATCCGTTGTCATGGTCACCGAGGCATGTCTCTTTTGAATTTCTTTCTCCATTTTTTTCTTCATTTTGTTCCTTATTGCATTATTTTTTGTAACATTATTCCTAGTCATATTTTGCCAGAGATTAAAATTGTCTCTTCTCCCTTTCGCAACATGGTCCAGATGGGGGAGTCCCGCAATGAGCCCTGTAGCCTCCCCCGATGTTGACCTATATGCACAGCTGATAAGCTGTGCGCTTTTTAACCGACTTCGAAAAAGGAGGAGGTTACTCAATTCGATCAGTATATTTTTTTTTCTATGTGTTCCCGCCGATTACGCCTAGCTGGATAGACCGATCGGAACGAAACCTTTTGCATCTGGTATGTTCTGACTCCTGAAAATGTAAGCGTTCGTGATGTTTTATTTGAAGTAAAAGTAATCCCTGTTTAAATGGTTAATCTTTAAGTTAAAATGTTTGTTGTTTGTGTTTTATATTAAATAATTTGTTCGTGTTCAAAAGTGTATTATTAGTTTTGTTATTTTCCATAATTCTGATTATTTAACAAATACACTACCTAACGAGTAAATAGGTTTCATTCATATCTGTGACGTAATTGTATGATTGAATGAAATAGAAATTATTTTATACTTTTTAGTGCATTTCGAAGTCGGTGTATTTTTTTTCTTAAAATTATTTTATTTGTTGATGCAATTTTTGTTCTGCATATTTATTAGGCTCTGTGACTAAAAGGCTTATCACTTTTTCGTCTAAGAATAGCGAAAGCACTTCACTTGCGCTAATATCAGACGGCAAATCCATCAGAAGCCCACTTTTTCCAGTGAACGTAAACGTCTGTTGCCTGTTAGCAAATTCGTTCCACTGGATATTGTCCAATGGATCATCCACAGAGTTCAGCTCCTCTTCTTCGTCTAGAGCAAGTTCTTCCAACATGTCGTCAAGGTCTTCACTTGCGTATGATTCCTCCGTATCGGAGTTTGAACTCGATGAAATTCTATTTATCACTTTTCTTCTACAATTTACTATTTCGTCATCACTACTCTCCTCACTTCCAATTATATTTTTACCGGGTCTAATAAACATTTTGAGGATAAAAAGGTCACCGACGTGCGTCTCCAAAAAAGTACGCTTCTTGACTAAATGAAGGAGACTTGCAGAAAAGTCACACGTGCGTCTCAAAAAAAGTATGGTTCTCGACTAAAATGAGATAACTGTAATAAGATCCGTTGTCATGGTCACCGAGGCATCTATAGCTGCGATGCGTGCGTTAACTAGAGTATTATTGGTAGTAGTGTAGTGTAGTAGTATACAATAAGTCGAGTAGAATATAAGGAGGTGGGACACTAACAACTTTGGCGCTCCAACTTTGGCGCTCCGACTTTGGCGCTCCAACAGTCGGATTTGGGCCCCGCGAGAAATTTAACCGAATCGCGCTAGGCGACGAACGTGTTAAGGAACCGATTAAAAGCCCCGTGCCCGGAGAGCACCTGAATCAAATGATATGTAACTTCTCCATGCTTCCTGTTCTTCCAGCGGATGACATCCGGCAGGACTCTTCTAGTCCATGCACCACTGTCCTGTGGGCCTCTGCTGGACCATCGTTCCTGCCGTCTCTTTTGAATTTCTTTCTCCATTTTTTTCTTCATTTTGTTCCTTATTGCATTATTTTTTGTAACATTATTCCTAGTCATATTTTGCCAGAGATTAAAATTGTCTCTTCTCCCTTTCGCAACAAGGTCTAGAGGGGAGAGTCCCGCAATGACCCCCGTAGCCTCCTCCGAAGTTGACCTATACGCACAGCTTATCAGCTGTGCGCCTTTTCTGTAAATGCGGTTAATGATATTTAAATTTCTTCTACGTTTTAGTGAATCGGACCAAACCGGCGCCCCGTACAGAGTTATGGAGGCAACAACCGAGGCCAGCATTGCCCTTTTTTGGGCTCTCGGACCCTTCAGATTAGGTATTAGCCTGGCGAGGTTATTTAATGTAACTTCTACTTTGCTCTCAATCCATTCTAGATGATCCCTAAAATTGAAGTAGGGATCGATTATCATACCTAAATATTTAATATTCTTATTTGGGGTTACCTCATCATCTTTAATTTTAATAGGTTGCTGTAACCATTCCTTGTTTGTGGAGTAGACCCCAAAGACTATTGCCTCGGTCTTGTTCGGCGAAATCTGTAAACCCAGGCTCTCTATTAATGTAATGATGCCCACCAGTTCTCTACAGAGAATTGCAATCGTTTTTTTTTTTGCGTTCTTGCCAGACAGTAGGACTAGGGTATCATCTGCATAGCAAATGGCCCTAAGTCCTACTGCCATGCATTTTTTCAGGATCTTGTTGTACGCCAATATCCATAGTAAGGGTCCGAGAATCGAGCCCTGAGGGATTCCTCTGGTTACCTCGAATGTATACCTCCCCTCCTCCAGCTGCACCGAACTCTTTCTGTTATTTAGGTAAGAGCTAATAAGGGCTAGGAGGTACTGCGGGACCCCCATTCCCTTTATTGTGTCTATGATGGCGGGCCAACTTAATGAATTAAATGCATTTTTAATATCCAGCGCTATTCCTATGATCTTTTCTTTCTTTTCTCTTTTTTCTGTGACGAAGCCCATCAATTCCAGTAATGCATGGACCGTGGATCTGCCTTTTCTAAATCCATATTCATTATTTGACAGCTCATAGTTCTTTTCAACGTAACGCTCAATTCTACCAGCTATCACCCGCTCGAAGAGCTTCCCTACCTCGCTAATCAAGGAAATCGGTCGATATTTCTTTTCCTCCGCTTCTGGATTTTTTGGAATTAATACGACCTAGGCCTCTTTCCAAGCGCTTGGGAATTTAAGGCATCGGAGGGGGTAGGAAAGGAGCTCGGCCATTTCCTCCCCCCTCCCCAATGCCATCATTTTCACTACTCTCCCCGGGATACCATCCGGGCCCCGGGGCCTTGCCCGTTTTAATACCCTTCGCATATTCAATCAGCTCCTCCTTTTTAATTTTAAGCTCATCAATAGCGCCCCTCTTTATCTGATCCAGTGTAACTGCCGGGATTTCAGAAATTGCCTCTCCCTCGGGGAAGAGATTTTTAATTATTCCTATTCCTTCTCACGTTAAGAGGGGGTTCCTTTTCTTAAATTTTTTGAAAATAATTTTATATGCCATTCCCCAGACATCCCTGTCCAAATCCTTAATGAGTTTTTCCCAGCACTTGACCTTCTTGATCTTTATAATTTTCCTTAGCTCCTCTTTACACTGCCTATATTCCACTAGAGACTCCTCATATTCTTTCTTTTTGCTTTCCTTTTTCCTTTTGCCTGCGAGCCGCTTTGTTGCATTTTTCCCAAATCCGTTTAATTTCTTCGTCCCACTAATATGCATGGCCCTTCCTTCTGCCTCTTCCCCCACCCTTCTTTCTCAGGGTTCTGTCGCAGATGGATCCAATGACCACTAATTCTACCCTCCACCTGTTCCCATGGGGTACTGTCCTCCCACCAAGCCTTAAGTTTCATGCATTCCTTCACCAATTCTTTTAAAATAGTGTGTTTTTTCTTTTTCAGGTCTCCTGTAATCCAGCCTGGCGTGTCTAAGCCCACTTCTCTCGCGTTGCAGGTGAGTATGACCTCCTCCTTGACAGCAAATGTGATATATTTATGATCACTTAAGGTTATCTCCTCTTCTACTCTCCAATTCTTGATATTCTCATACAGGTTTCCTGTTATTAGCGTGATATCCACACTGGAGGTTCCCCTACCACCCTCGAATGTTATGACTCCTCTCTTGTTCGCACAGATAAAGTTATTTGTGTCTAACCAGTTCTCAATATACTTCCCTCTAGGGTCGATCTGTCTCTCTTTTGCATGCTCGATCTGGCTGAATAGGCATTGAGATCTCCCGCAATTATTATTTTTCTTTCTTTTCTTTCCTTTAGAATCGTATTAACCTCCACATCTATCTCCTCCCAACTTTTTTCAAAGTTTGACATTGCCCAATTCGGGGAGATCGAGAGTAGTATAATGTCACCATATGAGCAGGCGACGAAAGTCTTCCCCGTCCACTCCAATTTAAAGCCCTTCTTTAAGTTTCCCCCTAAGAGAGCGGATCCCCTGTCACCGCTCCAAAAGGCAATATTATTCCCCAGTGTCTTTGAAGGCTCGCTAATGAATGCCATATTAATATCCTCTCTTTCCAGCTTATTCACAAGAAGATCTAAAGCCATATTTTGTTACCTATGTACTTAAGGGTTAAGCCGAATCACATATTCAATAGAACAAATACAACAATATCAAGGCAACGTTGGTAACACAAAGGCGTGTCGACATCTTTGACATCTTAATTAATTATGAAATAACATAATGGACTTATTTAATTATTAGACTTATTTTTTAATTTCTCTGCAATCAATAAAAAAAATTATTAAATACATATATATAAGTCTGTACACCTCTAGCAAAGATGGTTAAAGTTAACAGAATATGTGAAGGTTCTTCAGGTTACGTGTATCGTTAATACTTTATGTACTTACAATTATATTCCATTTATATTCTTTAAATTAATTTTAGCATTTTGCATATTCAATGCGATGAAATTTGATTGGAAGTTTTGAATAAACTTCCATTTTACCACGGAAGCTGAAAAAGGAAGTTTTGAATTTTTAATAATTTTGGGCTTTATCGAATTTGCAGTTTCCATTAAATTTCATGAGAACCTTGAAATATAACGAGACCCTCACGGGTGTTCATCTTGCAATTCTATTAACTTTTTACACATATGAATTTGTTTCGGGATGGTCGCGCAGCTTCTACTTCCGCTTGGTTCGAAGGTGGATCGAGAATTAAAGATTATCGATAGTCGAGGTATATCGCAA